GCCTTCCACTCAGAACTTACTGCTTAAATTCTGCAATATATCGAAAGTACCACATTTCATCGTCATTATTAAAACTCTGAATCAACTTGTTTGTGAAACAAGGCGTATCAAGATTTGGTCGAAATTTTGAGATACGTAATACTAATTTCAATGAAATTTTTGGTTAGTTTGTGATCACTCACATAAACTTATGGTTGCTGGTATTATTCGATTATTTATACTGGTGTGAGTAGTAAACTCTGCCACAAAAACGTAGTTAATCAATTGAATCATTAAAACCTATTTAAAAAAAAATGACACTACAAGAAAAAAAACTCTATTAAACAAGTTTTCAGAAATTGTTTGTAAATTTTGTAAAAAAATTATTTAAATTACACCAAAATTGTGGTATATTACCTATATATAAAAATTCAAATCTATATATTCTTGATCAGATCGATGACTTAAGTTTATTTAGTTTCGTCTTCTGTCTGTTTTCAATGTTATAGCACAAAAACTGAGGGGCTAGGTTTTTGATCTATTGCACTGAAACTTTCACATATATAACTCACATATAATTAACTTCATAATTTCTTGAATTGGTCGAAATTGGTATATTATATTGTATAGCTGGAATATAAATTAAACAATCGGATATAAGTAAAGCCCGTTTATAATTAGGATATTCAAAAAAAATTTGGTAATAAATTAACTTATATTTATACATAAAAAATTTATAAAAAATTTATCGGTTCAGATTTAGATACAGCTGCATAGAAACTGCCGATTAGATCAAATGAGCTTATTGATCCTGTCAGAAGAAGGTTTATAATATCTGATGTATTGAATGTATTAAGCATAAATACGAATGAATTTGAAACTTAAGCATAATTTAAAGAAACCAATCTGTGATTCAAAATATAGCTTTTATTGATCCCGCACTTAACATCTTAATTGTGTTAAATATATATGAAATTAATATATAAAAATATATATCTGAGAAATACGTTAGTTTATATGACCAATATCAAGATTTCAGTTAAAGTTAATACCCATATTATATGAAAAATTATATAATATGAGTATTAAGTTTCCATTTTTTGAAACTGATTTCTTTTTAACTCTATGGTTTGATGTAACCCAAAGCAAAGGAAGGGGAGTTAATTTGCGTGAAAGAGTTGGCGCTCATGAAGCATCAACCAGAGTTGGCGCTCATGAATAAGTACCAAGTGCCAACAGCTATGCCACACACAATGCTTTCTTGCTAAGAGCACAAGTGCTTCAAGGTTTTTTTTTGCAATTTATTCCAAAAAGAGTGAGTCAATATTGCTTGGTCTACAGAGACTGCAGCTGAGGTGTCAGGTGTGTTGAAGCAAAATTTTATGTCGATGATGCCTGAAGCATAAATTCACACGAAACAATTGATTTTACTTATTCCAACAGGCCACTGAAAACGAAGTACCTTTTTAATATTTCAGAATATTTTAATTACTCTATTAACTTTATTAAAAAGCTTTAATATGTGGTTCCATTTACGGTGAGCTGTAAGGACATTTTAACACAACACCGTTTCGTGCATATTGGATACTAACAGAATTTTTAATGATTTTATCGTGAAGGATTTATTTATATTTGATCATAAATTTTATATCACGTAATTGTGATGACTTTTTGGTGCTTCTATTATTTTTATTAATATTATATGTATCTGAAATCTGTAATTTTTAAAGAAAATAAGTTTTGTTTTTCTTCCTTACTAGTACAGTTTATTTATATCATATTATGATATCTGTCTAATAATGAATGCTACTGTATAGTGACCAAAGTTTTTATAATTTTTAATTAAAATTTTGTGGAGGACGGCTTTAAAAATGAACAATATTTTGTATCATAATATGTATTCATGTAGAATTTTTTTTATAGAATATACATAGTTATATTCATTTTCACAAGGTTCACTGTAAAGAAAACAGGATTTTCTTAAAACAGTTATTGGAAATTAAAATATCTAATGACAATATCACGTGTTAAGGTGTACTATTAATTTTTAATGACATTTTGACAAATAGAAGCGTAGTTATAACATCTGAGACTACAGTACTTCCGGATATCATTCTTTTGGACGTTTTATAGATGCACGAAAACATTTTTCTTAGATAGTATAAAGAGCACTGCAACATATCAAGTGAATACAAGAAGTGGTTGATGGTTTACATGTACAATTTAGTTTAATCCAATTATATAAAGGGAATGGATTCAATATTAGTTGTGAGCCAATTTGTACGAAAAAACCGTGTATGGTATGATCTCCAATTTGTCTGAAATTTTTTTATGCGCTCATTTCACAAAATAAGAAGACCCGTATCTCGGGAAAAAATTTTGTGATTTTTTTCCTAGGAGATATGGACCCATGGGGTTTTGAGAATTGGCATTGTAGACACATTTTCAAATGGGTATATTTTAAGTTCTATAAAAGATAGAAACTTGAAATTTACAGCGTTTCAAAGATAATTGATTGTACTTTTATGAAGACCGTAAGAATTTTAAAGACTATGAGCAAAGCTTTCAAAAATTAGTTACAATATAGAAAACACAAAAAAATTAAAAAATAAATGATTTGAAACGACCGCTGCATATCTGTAAAAAAGAAAATAGGATATTAAAAAATACAGGTTATTAAATTTTGAATAGAGATTTTTGCAATGGAGTAGAAGATAAGGGAGAAAATGGGAGATTGAAAATCACAGATTATTAAATTTTGAATAGAGATTTTTGTAAAGGAGGAACTGTGAAAGACTAGAAAGAACAGCATTGCAAAGATAGGTTAAATATTTATCGTAGAGTGAAAATAAAAACAAATAATGCTGACTGTTTTTCTTAATTGAAAAGGAATCGTTTGCAGTGAACTTGTTCTAAAATTTTAGAAATTATTATCCAAGATTTCGAAGTGCCCTATTGAAATGTAGAGAGTCAGGCAATTGATTTTCGTTGTAGATAAAGCGTCTCATACTCGTAATAAGAATCATCTACCATATTCATACTATATGGTAGCATACAATGGTTAAATTTTTTGATAATGTTTGTCATATATTTTATATCCGGCCACAGGTCATCTTTTTTAAATTAAATGTAGGTTTAATACTTTTTAATATATTTAATATTTCTACTTTCGTTAAGAGTCAACATCAGGATAAGAATTAACCCGATAAGAAATATATAAAAAAATCTTATTAAAACATTTATCGTTATTTAAAATTGCTAGTTAAAATATCTTTTGTGATTTCTAAAGTATACTCCACTACTCCAAAGTCTTAAATTGTAGAAAAGATTTTTATTATTCTTCCTATGAGAATTACTAAGTAACAGTTTCATGGTTAAATTTCAGGAAGACTCTGATATGCAAACCACGAACTTTACCAGTGCTCTTTGTGCACTAAATACGAAAAGCATTTTCAGAACTGGATTAAAATCCTTTTGTGGCTTCTGAGTAAGAGTATGTTACATGTATACATATATATATACATATATAAAGTTATAAAGGAAATTCTAATTTGATTAAATAAATTAAATGTGTTTGCAACTTTATTTTGGTTTCAGAAGACAATCCACACCTGCTTACCGCAAGGTAAGTGCACAATAAATAATATTTTCCTTCTTAGGAATGTGGTTATCACCAGGACAAATTTTAAGGACTCGAAAAAAAGTGAAAATTTTTTTTTAAAATTGTAAGAGTGAAACTGTGTGTGAATAATGCTTAAGTTTTTTTTGTGTAATACATACGAGTATTGTGCAATCTACATATCATATTCACAATCTACATATTCACATGTCGCTGCAGACTTAAAGAAAACTTCCATCTGGATTTTCTTAGGAAAACTTTGAATGATGGAATTGGCATACGTGGAGCAAAAATATAAAAAAGTTTTCTATACAAAATAATTTTTATTCTACAATATTATACTTAAAAGTTTACACAAAGCAGATTTACAGTGGTTTCCATTATTTGTATAAATATATTTCGCAATGAGGGGGGATTCTGCAATTTATTAGTATTACATTTTGGTAAAATGTTATTAATTTATGGGATGAGAATAAATTCTTCATTGAATTTACATATACTATGCTATATATGAATATTGGAAAATTAGTAAAAGAATCTAACATTGTTTATACACAATTTTCGAGAGTATCTTGCATTATTTTGGTTATTAAGGAATTTCTACAAAAAATAATATCCTGACATTTTATAAAAAATAACCTTTAGTAAAATATAATTTGCTTCTATTTTGTGGTTATAAGCAGTTATAAAACAATATGTTATTTTAACCTTGTCATTAGGTGGGATATGCAATATCGTACAAATATCCTTCACGGAACATATTATAGATTTGCAACCATTATTTGATAATTTTATTGAAACTGATATTTGTTGACTTATCGGCACAAAACTGGCAATAGCTTAGCTATAAGTTGTCGGATCCTCGTTTTTAAGCCCTCAAGAGTTTGAGGATTAGTGTAAAGTGATTAGTGTAAGTGGTCACAAATCAATAGATCTTGATGACTAATTCATATCATCAAAACGTGAAATTACGTGCTGAGGTTAATTCTCGTACAATAAAGTCAAAACATCATGTGTTGTGTAACTTCTGGTACCGTCCTGATAAAACCAGAATTTTAAGTTAAAAAAATACTAATTCAAAAATATTATATGCCTTATCACACCTCCAGATCGAATACCACATCACACAGTGAGTTTTATTAGACTCTATAATGTAAAATTAACAAACAAAATCTGAGCTTCATCGCTGAATAAAGTTTCATGCGAGGCGCTTATGATTGAATTACTTTTTTTAAAGAAAGTTTTTACAATTTTGAAACGTTGGTGATTGTCAAACGACTCATATTTTAAAATCGAATACTTTAAAATAAACATATAAAACTATGATAGTAGTTTTTTTCGACATATGTTACTAAAATTGTGCTGCCAAATCAAACCGTATAATGAATAATCCTTCCAAAACATGGTTATAGCATCGTTTATTACTGAATATACTGAATTTACACTAAAAATGAAAATAGAACTATTGACACCCAATTGGTAATTAAAATCTTTCAATTCTTTATCCTATAATCCAAGGAATTCAAGGAATGTAGAGCGGAAATTCTTCAGGAATGGAATGAAAAAGCAGACTGTATATCCCGCCTTGACGTAGTAGAAACTTACAGAAAAAATAAAGAATTGAACATTTTGTCTGTGACTGCCGAGCTTTGGCTTTCAGGTTTTCAGGAAACATGCTTAAAAGTAAGTTCTTTTATACAATTTGTAAAAATTTTCGTTGAAAAGAACAAAGGATCTGGTAAATTGAACTGGATGGATTTAGTGTTGATATTATTTTAAGTTTACCTGCGAGCAATGTGATACTAAAATGGTGAATAATAAATAGTTATAGGCTTTGAAAGAACATTTGCTGATCGGCCATTGCAACCAACCAACGAACACTATTTATAAATATATAAAAATATTTAAAATTTGATTATTAGCATCAAATGCTTATAGGTATACTAGTAATATAACATGACAACATTACTATGTTTAGTGAAAACAAAGTGATAATAAAGTCAAAGTGAAAAAATATATGAATATCATTAAAAAGTCATATATCTTCTGCTCAAAAAGTATCCGGATTTTGTTGTTTGTTAACTACTCCTTAAGTAATAGAACCTTTTTTTTTGTTATGTTGTTACACCCTTTCTTGACATATGGTACAAATTTCAGCGCCATCTGTCAATTACTTTGTTTACAGCAGCTGTTAATGTGAGACTACCTCAAGTGCATTTAGCGATTTTTACTATGGAAAATTCTTGTTGTACGCGATTTTTTGACCAAACACGGCACCTTGTCATCGCTCAGATCGCCAGATCTGGCGAATATGGTGATCCGTATGACTTTTTCCTGTTCCCGAAACTCAAATTAAGCTTTTTGACTCGATTGAAACGGTAAAAGAGAATTCGCCGAAGGTACTAAACGCCATATATGCACGGGCCTACGAAAAGTGTATGGAAGATTGGGTTAAGCGTTGGCATATGTGTATCGCTTCAGAAGGAGCATATTTTAAAGGAGATTAAATAAATTTGGAAAAAAATTTAAATTTGTGTGTTTTATTTACAAAATCCGGGTACTTTTTGAGCTGGAGGTACATCAATGCAGCATGGATGCAATAATAAATTTGTTATTATTAAATAAGGGACGGAAAATAGAATTTTATTATCTATATTATTATTATTATTATTATTATTATTATTATTATTATTATTATTATTATTGTTAAGTTTATACAGAAGCTTTCGCTCTCTTGTGCTTTTATAGAATTGTAACTTAGTCTTAAGAATTGAAATTTAAAATAAAGTTAGTCTTTAACATCCCATGAATCGGTACACAACATAATTGGCGACGAGGAACAAATGAATAAATAAATTAATAAAAAAAAAAAGTAAAATGAATAAAAAGAGGAATTAAAATTGAAAATGTTGGAGCAAGTATAAAAAAAAATAAATGGACAAATTATTAACACTTTTTAAAATAATTTAGTAAATATAAATTGTTATGTTAATACATAAACAAAAATCAATTAAAAAACGTGCAAAATTCATTTTTGCATAAATTTTTTTTTTAAAAAAAAAAACAAAAAAAAAAGTGTACAAATTATCAACATTTTTTTTTTTAAATAAATTCAGTAAATATAAATTGTTATGTTAATACATAAACAAAAATCAATTAAAAAACGTGCAAAATTCATTTTTGCATAAAATTTTAAAAAAACAAAAAAAAAAAGTGTACAAATTATTAACATTTTTTTTAAATAAATTCAGTAAATATAAATTATTATGTTAATACATAAATAAAATAAATTAAGAACGTGCAAAATTCAATAAAGACGCCCAACAGTAAAAGTGAAAAAAGCAAGTAACAAAAAACAAAAAAAAAAAAAAATTTATTATAATAATAATATATATATATTTATTAAAATATATAAAAACATATATATATAAAAACTATATACTTCATTTTAACATATTTAAAATAAATAAAAGATGTTGCAGCCAACGGAACTAGCAGTAACCGCTAGCGCGCCAAATATATTCCAGCAAAACTGTATTGCTGAATTTTCGCCTCAAAAAGAGCAATGGACTTTATGGAATGAGAGATTGGAAATTTATTTTGCCAATAATTAAAGTTAGCGTTAACATGTAAGTTTGGAGAGAACTTATCAGCTTTTATTCTGGATCGGTTCATCATGGGCATAAAAAACAAAATTTTTGAAAGACTATGTGAGGAAGATGAGAATCTCGCAATTGAACAGGCACTCAGAAAAGCACTTATTATAGAGCTTAGGCTCAGTGAGCAAAAAAGTTATGGAGAAAATGTTAATTACATAAATAATAATAATGATGTAAAACCTAAGTACAACAAAACAAATGGGAGTTACAAAAATGGGAGTTACAAAAATATCCCTAACAAGAATATTCCTAACAAAGTGCAAAACAATAAATCAACTAAAACTTTTCAACCGTGTGCACATTGTGGTTGGCGAAACCATGTTTCGAATGAATGCTATTATAAGTCATGTAAATGTCATCAGTGTTTAAGAATTGGACATCTATCTTCGATTTGTAAAAAAAACACTAAAGTTGTAAATAAAGTATCTAGTATAAAAGTTAAAGATCATATTGATAATAGGTTTTGTATTTACAGCATTAATCATAAAGGTGAGGATTCAACAGAATTGTACTCGGTGACGATTAATTTTAATGGAATTTCGATGGATGTTGTCTGCGACTCAGGTGCTCCATGTAGTTTAATACCTAAATATATATTAAACAGGTGCAGCAAAACAGTAAGTCTTAAAAATTGTATTGATCCGTATGTTGATTACAATGGTAATCATATTAAAGTACTAGGTGAATATTTCGAAAATATTGAGTATAATGGTATAAATAAGAAAATTAAGTTAGTAGTTACTAACAATAATAGTTCTCCTTTGTTAGGCAGAAATTTTTTAAGAGCCTTTGGGTTTGAACTTATTCAAGTAAATTCTATTAATTATTCTAGTCAATATGCTATTTTTATTGAACAAATTAAAAATGAATTTATTGAGATTTTTGATGGTGATATAGGTACATATAAACTAGCCAGAATTTCTTTACCAATGGAAAAAGATTTCAAACCAGTTTTTTTTAAACCACGACCAGTCCCATTAGCATGGAAAAGTAAAATTGAAAGTAATTTAAGAGAGTTAATTGCTGAAGATATTTTAGAACCAATAAATAATGCAGAATGGGGTACACCTTTAGTTCCCATCTTAAAACCGAATGGTGATATTAGAATATGTGGCGATTATAAAGTCACGATCAATAAACATCTATCAGATTTTAAATACCCGTTACCCCGCATTGATGAAATTTTTGCATCACTTCAAGGGGGTGAACTGTTTTCGAAACTTGATTTGTTAAATGCGTACAATCAACTTGTACTTGATGATAAATCTCAGCTCTTATGTACGTGGTCAACACATATTGGTACTCTAAAAATGAAACGTTCACCTTTTGGTATTAAAACAGCAGCAGCTATTTTTCAAAAGACCATGGAAAATCTTTTGTGTAATATTCCCTTTGTAGTTGTATATCAAGACGATATCACTGTTTCTGGGAGAAACACTTCAGAACATATTCATAACCTTAAAACAGTTCTCTGTAAATTACAAACTGCTGGTCTTAAGTTAAATTTGTCCAAATGTGAATTTTTTAAAACTAAAATTTCGTACCTGGGTTTCACGATTGACAAATATGGACTTACTAAAAATAAAGAAAGAACGGAATCTATTTTGAAAGCACCAATTCCCAAAAATGTGTCTGAGTTAAGAGCACTAATCAGTATGGTAAATTATTATTCGAAATTTATTGACAAATTTGCTGATAAAATGATTCCTTGGTATCATTTACTAAAAAAAAATGTAGAATTTGTTTGGTCTGAACAATGTGATAAAACGTATGAAATGATAAAAAAGGATATAACTTCGGATAAAGTGTTAGTACACTTTAATCCTAAATTGCCAATTGTCCTTACAACAGATGCTTCTAATAAAGCTGTAGCTGGCATATTATCGCATAAGTTTTCTGAAGATGAAATAAAACCAATTGCATTCGTGACTAGAGCTTTATCTAAAGCTGAACAAAATTATAGCACACTAGAAAAAGAAGCATTAGCCATAATATTTTGTGTAAGTAAACTCAAACAATATTTGATTGGAAACAATTTTATTTTAAAAACTGATCACAAACCTTTAATATCAATTTTTGGTGAAAATAAAGGTTTACCAATTATGGCAGCTGCACGCATGCAAAGATGGGCATTCATACTATCTGGTTTTAATTATAAAATTGAGTATGTCAAGGGACACACTAATGATGCGGATAATTTATCACGCATACCTCAAGCAATACATCGCGATCAGGATGAGGGAAGCTCATTCATTAATTATATTCAAAGTGAAAATATATTAAGCATTGACTTTAAGGATATAGCTCGCGAAACAAGACGCGATCCAATACTCTCTAAAGTATGTGATGCTGTAAGAAAAGGAACAGTCAAAACTTTAAAAGATGAAAAATTTACGGCTTTTACAAGCAAAGATACAGAATTAACAGTAGACCAAGAGTGCTTACTCTGGGGGTATAGAGTTATAATTCCATTGAAGCTTAGGACATCCATTTTACAATCACTACATGAATCTCACTTAGGCATAGTCAAGACCAAATCACTAGCAAGATCCTTTGTATGGTGGCCAAAACTTGATAGGGACATAGAAAATTTAATTAAATCATGTCTTCCTTGCCAAAAACTATTGCCAAGTCCGGAGAAAAGTAAACTAATTCCATGGAAGGTAACGAATACTGTCTGGCAAAGAATTCATATTGACTTTGCGGGTCCAATTAAGAACTATCATCTTTTTGTCATAATTGACTCTTTTTCAAAATGGGTCGAAGTTTTCAAAACAAAAGATATCACATCTAGTTTTGTAATCACTAAGTTAAGAGAAACTTTTTCACGTTTTGGTATTGCTGAAACTTTAGTTAGTGATAATGGCAGACAATTTGTCTCCGAAGAGTTTAAAAATTTTGTTAATAACAACAAAATTAATCACATTTTGACTGCTCCTGGTCATCCATCAACTAATGGCCAAGCAGAAAATTTTATTAAAAGTTGAAAAAAATCTCTCTATGCCACTTTAAATGGTAAAAATAACGAAAACTTTGAAATAGCTTTAAATCGATTTTTAATGGATTATCGTAATACTAAGCATTGTACAACAGATGAATCCCCGGCACAAATTTTCCTGGGAAGATCAATAAGAACCAGATTTGATCTTATAAAACCTCCTCTTGTTAGGGATAGAATTATTCAAAAACAAAGAAAGAGTGTTTCAAATTATAGAGGGAAGAGAAATGAACAATTTGAGATAGGTCAAAATGTATATGTACGTGACTATTCGAACGTAAATAAAAAATCGTGGATTCCTGCAATAATCAAAGACAAACTGGGCCCACGTTTATATTGTTGCATTATGTCTAACAACAGAGTCATTAAGAGACATCTGGATCAAATAAAATCAGGGCCAGGAGAAAGTCTGGTCGCACACAACAGTTCAGTAGATGTTCAAGATGTTTGGAGTTATAATCCATTATGTTCAAATATAGACACTCTGAGTACAAACGTTGAGCCTTCACAATATGATAAAGAAATACAAGCATTAGGTTTAAGTAACAAGGATTATAGTGTAGATATACAAAATGTTAAAACTGATTGTAATTTTCAAAATATCAAAGAATTAAATAACAAATCTAAAAATGAATTGAATATTGGTAATAATGAAAATGTAGTATCTGATGAAAATGTAATTAATGAAAATGTAGTATCTGATGAAAATGTAATTAATGAAAATGTAGTATCTGATGAAAATGTAATTGATGAAAATGTAGTATCTGATGAAAATGTAAACAAAAATAAAAAAATAAATAGTAGTCAAGATATATGTATGAGGGAAACTAGATCTAAATCTAAACAAAAGAATAAAAATTGAAAATAAGAAGAAAGTAAAATAAATGTATATTTACTAATTGTAACATAATTGGAAAGTTTAAAAATAAAAATTTATATATTATATTAATGTATAAGCATTAAATAAAATCAATGAAAATTTATATATTATATTTATGTATAAGCATTAAGTAAAATCAATGAAAATTTATATATTATATTTATGTATAAGTAATAAGTAAAATTAAAGAATGTATATATATTATAACATTTATTAAATGTAAGTAAAAAAAAAAAAAACAAACGTAGGGGGAGCGTGTTAAGTTTATACAGAAGCTTTCGCTCTCTTGTGCTTTTATAGAATTGTACCTTAGTCTTAAGAATTGAAATTTAAAATAAAGTTAGTCTTTAACATACCATGAATCGGTACATAACAATTATTATAATTATTATTATTATTATTATTATTATTATTATTATTATTATTATTATTATTATTATTATTATTATTATATTATCATTATATTATTATTATTATCATTATTATTATTATTATTATTTTATTATTATTATTATTATATTATTACTTTTATTATTATTATTATATTATTATCATTATATTATTATTATTACTATTATTATTATCATTATTATTATATTATTATATTACTATATTATTATTATTATTATTATTATTACTATTATTATTATCATTATTATTATATTATTATTATTATATTATTATTATTATATTATTAATATTATTATTATATTATTAATATTATTATTATATTATTATTATATTATTATTATTATTATATTATTATTATTATTATATTATTATTATTATATTATTATTATTATTATATTATTATTATTATTATATTATTATT